CCTGGAAATGTTCACACAATCCAAATAAAAATATATCCAAGCCAAAGCTTTTTGCTGGGACAAAACCCCTGATATGTCCCTGACTGCTCTGTCTCATCCTGATTTTGGGGGCTGTGCTGGCTCCAACCTGGCTCCAGCATTTCAGGAGGTGCAGAGAGTGAGAAGGTCTCTAAATATCATCCCAGATTTCCAGAAATTTCCCCCCAGGCTGCCAGAGCAGGCAGGGAGCCCCTGCTTTGCAGCCTGATGAACCAGTCCCTCCAAGCCTACAAAAATCAGCAAATCTTTAAGTTCCCTTCCCACCCAAACCACTGCAGGACTCTTTGCCAGCTGCATCAGTGGGTTTTTTTCCCAGTTTCATCCCCAAACTGGGGAGGATGGGAGGATGCAGCCCCAAAGCAGAGGCCCAGCCCTGCATTGCAGATCCTGGCCAGCCCCAGATTCCCTACAAGCTGCTGCCAGCCCTCCCAGCAGGGCCCTCAATCCACCCGGCCCTCCCTGGCTCCAGCTGGCTGAACAAGCTGGCAACAGCAGAAAGAGAGGAAAAGCCTCTTCTACTGAGGGGAAAAAAAAAAAAGACTGGGAGAAGTCTCCATAAATCCTGAGGCAGTTACTGGTGGAGAGGACTCCCCTCCTCCTGCTCCACACTGCAGCACAAATTATGGCCCCAGCTTCGCTGTTGTTCGGTGATGAACATCTGAAAAGGCTGTGACAGATGAGAGGAGGGATGATTTAACAGCCATAAATCCAGCCAGCTTAGAGGTGTTTTTACAACCAAACCCATCTTGAATCCCCTCTGTTATGAATACTTATCACTCCCAGACACTGCCACAATGGAAAGATTTTTAACAGCTTTAAGAGAGAGGCAATAAAACCCCCAGAGCCGGGCGAGCAGCCGTTCCTTTGATCCCTCCCGAGGGAGGGAGAGGGGCTGGGAGCTGCTCCCTGGGCTCAGCCTTGAAGGAGCAGAGCGGCAGCAGCCTCTGGGCTGACCCTGCCTTTAATGGATGGGTGGAATCACCCCAGAGCTGGATCTGCTTTCCCAAAGCTGCTGCGTGGTGTAATTAATGGTGTAATTAACACCGTGCAGGGATGGGGGACAGGGGACAGGCTGTGCCTGTGACATCCAGTACCTTCTCCAGGGGCTCCTCCTGCATTCCCGCCTGCCCTGGCACACCTGCAGGGACTTAAACCAAGGCTGCTTCCAGCTGACCCTCTTGGGTGTGGTGACACCACTTTTAAACTTTTTAACAGTAAGGAATAAATTGGCTCAATGGCCACCACCTGAGCAGGACAGGGACGCTGTCCTTTAGCACTTCCCAAGCAGGACAGGGATGTTCTCCCCTGGCACTTCCCCAGCAGGACATGGACACTGTCCCTTGGCATTTCCCAAGCAGGACATGGACACTGTCCCTTAGCACTTCCCAAGCAGGACATGGATGCTGTCCCTTGGCACTTCCCAAGTAGGACAGGGATGCTGTCCCTTGGCATTTCCCAAGCAGGACAGGGTTGTTGTCCCTTGGCACTTCCCAGGAGATCTCAGGAGATCTCTTCTCAGGAGATCTCCCAGCTCCAGGGTAACTGGCCATTCATGGATCTCACACCCTCCCGGGCTGGGATTCAGCAGCCCCAAATCCCATCCCCACTTCCTAAAGTGCCTCCCAAAACGATTCCAAACACCTAGGCAGCAAAACCAGGAAAAGGGAGGTGCCAGGGGGCACCTGCTGCAAAGGGCACGTGGAGCTGGGCAAATACCTCAGGAACAAGCCCCTCCCTTCCTATACACACAAACTTATCAGGCACAGCCGGGTGATAAGGAACTCAGCAGGTGGAGGGAACAGAACTGATCCCAGGCCCTTTGTTTTCCACAACTGAGCAGTCCACGCCCAGGGAAAACACCAGGGAAAACATCCAGGCCTTGGGGCTGGTGGGTTTCCCTCCTGCACGAAGCATTTTTATTTAATTCAATAAAAACAAGGAGCAGGGAAAGCTCCTTCCTCAGAAAAACGTGGCTAGCAAGAGAGAAACCAGCCCTGCAGGACAAGGAACAGGCTCAGCTTGGCCACACAGAGACCTGAGGGGACGTGGACTCTGAATCCTGGGTGGAATGTGACATTCCCAGCCTGCTAACCTAAGGGAACAGCTTTTCTTTTAATAAGATAATACTGAGTAATTGATTTTTAAATACACTGAAATCAAATGTCCCGAGGCCAGAGCAGGATCCCAGCTCTGCCATCAGCTCCGAGGCCGCTGGCAGAGATGGAAAGCACAAGGGAAAAGAAAATAAAAATGAAATCTCCTTCAAGTGCCTCTCTGGCTCCGGGGCAAATGTGAATATCTCTGTAAAAGGTACAACAATTTTTCTCTATTAAAAAATAGATCATCAAAAGGGAGAAACTGGTGGAGGCACCAGAGAACCACTGAGGTCGAACAATGTGGAGAAAATCCATCTGCTTAAAAAACACAACAACAATTGAGAGAAAATATTCATTTCTGAGATAATTTATTCCAATCTCTCTCTCTCTCACATCCCATCCTTCACACAGTCCCAGTCAGGGAGGGTTTATGGCTATTTTTTATTGGATTTTAATTGTTTTTATAGAAAAATACACATGCAAATAATATATATATATACTTCAGCGCTGAACATTTCTTTTCATGTTGGAAAAAATAATAATAATAATAATAAAGAAATGAAGGAGGATTTGGGAAAGACCTGAGTGGAGACAGAGACAGGGAAGGCCACGGGGATGGGATGCTCCAGGAGCTGCTCATTGTGCAGCACATTTTATCCAGCAGAAAGGGGTTTTTGGGGATGAGGGACCAACATCAGTCCCTGACCTCAACAAAAACCCTTCTTCATTGACTCTGCCCAGGTTTGGGAATGGCCAAGGAAAAATTGGTGCTGGATTTGTCCTTCTTACAAGACGCAGTACGGATCCCATCCCCAGCAGCAAGGGAAGCCCAGCTTAGGTAAAAGCATCACTTTGATGCTTGGAAAATACACCAGAAGCCAAGAACTAGGTGGAAAAATTATCCTTTTATGCTATTTCCTATGGGATACAGCTGGCAGCACAGGGAAAAGGGATTGTTGGAAACCTGGACTTGTATTTTAGGATGATGTTTTTGGGGTGAGACTGTTGGACCCTTGGCTGTGCCGGGCTGGGGGCTTCTGCTCCTTGCAGAGGGGAGCAGTGACGGCCTCGTGTCCCCAGAGATGTCCCTGTGTCCCCAGCAATGTCCTTGTGTCCCCAGAGATGTCCCTGTGTCCGCAGCGATGTCCCCGTGTCCCCAGAGATGTCCTTGTGTCCCCAGCAATGTCCCTGTGTCCCCAGTCTCTCTGCAAACACCGTGCCAAGGCCGAAGGGATAAAACAGATCTGCAGCCCCTGGAGCAGAGCAGGAGGTGTCCTTTGGACAGGGCTGGTTCAGGTTTGATGGATGAGCAGCTGGAGCAAAGGAGGGGGCAGAGAGGAGCAGCCTGGGGAAGGAGGGCATTAATCTACTGCCACAGGATGCCGGGAGGCTTTGGGAAATGTCACAATGCAGCAGCATCCCTGCACTGACAGGGCAGCAGGGAGAGGGATGAGGGATTTTTGTCATCTCCTCCCAAGGCAGGCAGAGCTCCTCTGCCTCTGCCTGCAATCCTGCCCAAGGCCATGGCTTTTTTCCTACTGATCCAGGCTAATGATATGGAGCAAAGTGCTGTGCCTCTGCCCAGAGGTGCAAACCCACACAGGCAGCACGGTGAAGGCTTCCCAAGGGAAGGATTTCCCTCCAGCTCCCAGGGAGGGCGGCAGCAGCGCTCTGCCATCCCCACCTCTGTCCCCAGCAAGGCGCCACCCTGCCCATGTCCCCAGGCAGTGGTGCCACCCTGCAGACAGCACAGAACCTGACTGAGGGGTGGCTGGGGGCAGCCCCAGCTCCTGGCTGTGGTCCCTGCCATCACCTCCAGCATCATCAGCGAGGGGACTCCAGCAGGGAAAGGCAGCCTTGGACCCCTCTGGATTTACCACCAGAGCCCTCATCATGGGCGTGCTGCACACACAGCACCTGGGGGCTGCACTGCCACGCTCTTCCTGCCTTCCCCTCGTGTTTTGTTTTGCTTTTTAACCAACCATATTCACTTTTGGGAGCGTCTACTCCGACAATAGAGGCGGGAGGGTCTGGCGAGGGCGGGGGCTGCTTGGCTCCTATGTCTACAGGCTGCCCTGGGGCAGCTCTAGAGTTTGATGGACGATCATGCAGGTTTTATTGCAGCTCGTGGTGTGGTTTGGTTTGTCGGTAGCCCAGCTGCAGTCTCAGGTAGCCCCTGGGTGGGCTCCTCTCCCTCCCCACCTGGCCGGCCGCCGTCTCTGCCTCTGCCCAGCAGCTACTCCGGGGCCATCTGCTCGATGTGGTCACTGAGCAGCTTGTATTGCTCTGGGAAGGAGAGAGAGAAGGGCTCAGGGAGGCGGCTAAAGCACCCCATCCACGCTGCATCCCCCCAGAATTCCGGAATTCCAGCTGCACATCCCTCGGGCTCTGCCCTACCTTCATCCAGGTTGCCGATGGTCGCCTGCTTCTTCAGGAAGTCGCTGCAAAGCTTCTTGTTGAGGCCAAAAGCCAGCATGTTGTGGATGAAGGTGCTGAGGGAGGACAGAGATGCTCTGGGTGAGAGAATGGCCGGGCTGCACCTTCTTCCCCCACCTTCCTCTCCCTCCTCACAGCCCCTTGCATGGGATGATGCTCAGCTCGGTCCCTTTGGGTGTTCAACAGAAAGGGCAGGAGTGGTCCCAGGGAGAAGCACCAAATATGCTCTGCCCCATAAGGGATGTGCCCAGAGGGGAAACAGCTGGGAGGTGTCCCCAGGGGGGTCCCCATGCCCTGCTCACCCCAGCTGCCCGAAGGTGATGTTCTCGTTGAAGCGCAGGCTGTCGTCGCGCTCCTCCTGCGTCATGTGGCACCACTTCTCCCTGCAAGGAACAGGCCAGCCTGGCACCACTCTGTCACCACTGCCACCTCAGCACCCCCTGCCTGCTTCCTCCCACCCTGGGCCGCGCTGCTGGGGGACAGCAAGGCACCGAGAGCCCCTTGGAGCACGGGAGAGCCCCTGGGTGTTGGATGAGCTCACAGCATGGATCCATCTGCAGAGCTCTTGCTCTGGAGCAAAGCAAGAAATGCCCCAGGAAAAAAAAAACAAACAAACAAACAAAAAAAACCAAAAAACACTTATTCAGCCTTGGCTTTGCCTGGAAAGGCCCTGATTAAGAGCTAAAAAGAGCATTGGTCCCTCCAGCACAGAGCTCACCGTGGGCATGATGAAGAAGCAGGGATGGCCATCCCAGCATTGCCCTGCTGAAGCCCCCCAGCCTGGGAGGGTGACAGGGGGACACCAGGCCCCTGTCCCTCATCTCCAGCCCCCCAAATCCCTGCCAAGGTGCTCCCCAAACATACCTCCCGCTCAGACAGGAGCTCCCACACCCATCCCCACAGGCCAGCAGTGCCCTGAGGCTGCCCTGGCCCCACTCTGGCTCCCTGCAGCTGCAGCAGCACCTTCAGGGCTGCAGGGTTAAAGCTCTGGGTGTTTGCAACCAGCTCTGGGCAGGGGCAGAGTCCCCACCCCGGGAACGAAGCCTGTGCCACAGGGATGGCACTGGGGTGGTGGCAGCAGGGCTCAGTGCACGCATGCCAGGGAATCTACAGCTCCAGGGTGAAGGCAGCCCCTTCCCAAAAACCAGGTGAGGTCACAGCCAAGGATAGGAGGAGGAGAAGCAAGGAGAAACAGGGATAGGCAGAAGAAAAATGGAGGAGAAGGAAGAGGAGAACACCAGGAGAAGGAAGAAGGGACACTTGTAGCTGGCCAGAACAGCAAGCAGGAGGGGAGAGCTGTGCTGGGGGGAAACTGAGATATAGGAGATCTCACCCAAAATTCAGAGAGGCTGGCTCAGCCCCAGTGTGGCTGGAACTGGGAGAAAATGGGTGGTCAGCCAGGCTGACCCCACAAAGGGAACCAGTCCCCACTAAATCACCCCAACCCAGATGTGCAAAGTGCTGAGCTGAGCCTGCAGCCAGCAGCTCATTGTTTACAGGGCTCTGGAAATGCACACAACATGTTTCAGGGGAAATTTTTTAAATAAAAGAAGGTGTAATTTCTCTCAGATAAAGCTTAGGATAACAAATAAAACCCACTGCCAAATGCAGAGGCTGAAAGGAGAGGGGAAGAATCAAATTAAGGGGCTTTGAAATCTGGAAGCAAAACTTCACAGACCCCACTGGCTCACTTACAGAAGAGGCATGTTTGTAACTCTTTTTTTCCTGCCTTTTTATGTTTTGGAGGAAGGAAGAAGGGAGAAAAAACATTATCAAAGTACCCTACAAAAAATCTGGACGTGTTTCTGGCTTATTACTGGAGAGTAACATGCCTGGGAAGGGAGAAAACCCACATGTGGCTCCACTCAAAGCCTTTGATGTTCACCAGCAGGACAGGAACAGGGATGAGGAACCCCCTGGGCTGTGGGGATGTATTTTGGGGTATCCAGGAAAGCTTTGCTGTGCCTGGAAGTGCTGAGAAGTTTCCATCAACTCCTTTCTCTTCCGGCAGCAGCAAACCCCAGCAGTGACATTTACACCATCCCTCAGCCACACAGAAAATTCACTGCCAGGCTTCCAAAACTCCTCATCCTCTTGCTGATGCCATCACCTGGAGGGATTTGCCCCCATTCCCCTCACTCCAAGGGAGCAGTGACTGCTCCCAGCTCATGGCCCCAAGGACATGCTCCCAATTGTGACATGCAGCCCTCCCCATCTGCAGTTTTAATTTTGTTAAGGGATGGCAGCAGAAAAGCACATTAAAAATGGAAAAGGAGCAGCTTTTCCAGCTGGCAAAGGATCCCCAGCACCTCTAAGTGGCGGCAGAAGCCAGGAGCAAGCAGGAAGGACAGGAGAGGGGGATGCTTTCTACACAAAGAGACTCAGTTCATGCCCAAAACCTGCCCAGAGGGATGTTCCCAGAGAAATATCACAGCTTGAAACCATTCAGGCTCCTTTTTAAGAGCCACATGAAAGAGGAGCCGTTCTAAACCCCTCAGGCCCTTGGGGAGGGCGATGCTCAAGCTCAAACCTCCATGGAGAAAGGGCCTTGCAGAGCCCCCCAAAACACATCCCACCATCCCCAGGGCAGGATCTGGACCTGAAGGGAGCCTGTGGACACTAAGGAAGGACAGGGAAGGACAGACACACCTCTTCTCCTCTTCCTCCCCAGGGTTCCCTCTGGAGCGGCGGCAGAAACGGGGCCCACAAAGGTGGCGCGAGAAAAGGTCATGCAAGACACAGGGGCGGGGGGAACGGAGAGAGGAGGAGATGGAAGAAGGTTGTTAGAGGCAGAGAGAGAGAGGAAAGAGAGAGAAAAAGAGGAGTTTAGTTGTGATTCCTTCCCCTCCTCCCCTGCCCTCCCCTCCCCAAAGAGGAGGAAAATCCTCCCCAAAGGTCTCGCAAAGGACAAAGCCCGGCCACCCCAGAGATGTCCTGGCCACCCGAGAGATGTCCTGGCCACCCCAGAGATGTCCCGGCCACCCCAGCACAGAGGTGGCCTCAGCCCCATCCTCATGGATCTTCTGGGCATCTGCCATGGCCAAGGGCTGACCTGGAATTCCAAATCCAGCCCCAATCCCAGCAGGGATTTCAATCCTCAGCTCACTGTAAGGACTCTGCATCCTCTCCAATGACTCGGGGGGGTCACCACCACCTCCCAACCCCCTGAGACACGCAGGATTCTCCAGGCTGCAGCTCCCAAAGCTCCTTTGTCAGCCAGGCTTGCTCCAGCTCAGCCATCAGATTAATTGGGAGAGGCACCGGGAGCAGGGAGCAGCTGCCGGTGGCGTCTGTCCTTGTGAGGCACTTGCTGCTGCTAATTTGGGGCTTAATCAGAGCAAATGCAGTTATGGGCACACTGCTGCTCTGCAGGCTCTTCCCTGCTTGCTTGGGAGAGAAAAAGGAAAGCAATAAAGGGGAAAACAGGGATTGATGTGAGAGCTGAGCCTGGCACAGCATCCCGGGGTGTGAGCCAGGGCTGCTGCGCTCAGCTCAGGGTTTGGGGCACACAGAGGGGGCTGGCAGAGCTCTGAAAGGGGGAAAGGGGCAGCTCCAGGGAGAGCTCAGAGCCTCAGGCACTGCACGGACAGCAGGAGGGGCTGGCTGGGAGTGGGAAACTGCTGCCAGGAGAGGAGGGAGAGGCCGGAGCCCTCACACAGCTCCGGGTGCAGCAAGAGACGGGCACAAGCTTGGTGAGTGCCTCACCCCCTTCTGCTACCCCTGACAGGAGCAGCCCCTTCCCTGGCAGGTTTATCACAATTTGGGGGGCTGGCAGTGCCACCATCCCCAGCTTCTCTCCTTGCTGGCTGCTCCTGGCGACAGCTGGGACATCCCCTCCATCCTGGTGGCTGCACCGAGCACCTCCCAGACCCAGTTTGCCACCTCCCTGCTGGCAAACTCAGCACCAGCAGCCCGAGCCCTGGCTGGGATTTCTGAGCACATCTCTAGGGTTTGGTTCCCCCAGAAATGCTGCACAACAAGCAACGACCCCTTCCTGTTCCCAAAGCCCTGCCAGGCTGCAGATCTCACCAGCACTGCCCAGTGCTCCCGGCAGGATTGCAGTGGGGATGGAAAGCAGAGCTTTTCCCCAGGGCTGGACGAGCTCAGGGCTGTTGGGGGGAGCTCCCTGGGGGGCTGGAGGGGACACAGGGTGTCCTTTTCCCACAGGGACCTGTCCTACCTGGTGGTGGGGGATCTCTTCCTGCGCTCGCAGTGCACAGCATCAAAGAAGGCGGCGTTCCAGAAACGGAGGTTGTGCCTGCAGGGAGGGAGGGAATGCTGGGAATGGCTAATTGGGATTTGTAATTAGGAACCACAGAGTGCCCAGAGCAGCTGTGGCTGCCCCTGGATCCCTGGCAGTGCCCAAGGCCAAGTTAGATGGGGGTTGGAGCAACCTGGGATAGTGGAAGGTGTCCCTGCCATGGCAGGGTGGGATGGGATGGAATAATGGGATGGAATAATGGGATGGAATAATGGGATGGAATAATGGGATGGAATAATGGGATGGAATAATGGGATGGAATAATGGGATTTAAGGTCCCTTCCAACCCAAACCACTCCAGGATTCCCCAATCTCACCCATTCTGTCCCCGAGTCCTCCCAAGGGTCAGGGTGGGCCCAACAAACCTGGCAGATTTCTGCACCAGCCCTTTGGTGGCTGCAAACACACTCTCATTAGCACAAGGGATGTGCCAAAGCCAAGGCCAGCTCTGTTAGGGGCACTGGTGACCGTATGGGGACAAATGGACAGCAGGACAGACCCTCCCCAGGCAGGGCCAGCTCATCCAGGGGCTTTACCAGATCGGCTGCTGCTTGAGGTGCATGTACAGGTAGATCTTCTCCCCTTTCTTCTCCTCCTCTGGGCTCTGCAGGGACTCTGTGGGGACACACAGTCACACACCAGCACCTGGGGACTCCCAGATTCCCACCCACGTGTGGATTTTGGTGGCTGAGCAGTGGGATGGGTTGCAAACTAAACACATCCCTGCAACGGGAGAAGGAGCTCTGAGTGCCCTTGGAGGGCAGAGATCAGCCCTGAGAATGGCAGGGATGTCCCAGGAGGACCCTGGAGGGACTGAAACACTTTGGGAGCACTCACAGGTGCTGGGATATTGGTGCACCACCAAAGCCCAGTGACAGTGAGTGCCCAAACCTCTGCAGCCTGTGACACTGAGGACAAGATCCTCGCAGGATGAGAGTTGGGATTGGAATTTCAAACCCAGCCCCAAGGAATCCCAGCCTTTCCACCCCTCTCTCCTTCCCCAGGGGTGCCTTGGCCATTCCTATTTCACCAGTGCTGGTTGCACTCACCTGTCTTCTTCAGCTTCTCCTTTGGTTTCTCTTCACCTTCTCTGTGGCACAAGAAATCAATGTCAGCTCCACAAATCCTGTCCCCCCAACAACCCATGGCCCCCTGGCAGAGGGAACCTCATTTGAGGGACCGCCTGATCCCATGCCACCATCCCCAGGGCCAGAAAGGTGACAAAGAGGCAGTGAAACAGTGACATCCCTCCCCTCAGCAGAGAGATGATACACAAGATCACCAGCTTGGAACCACATAATTCTGTGGCTGTCTCGGTTTTGAGACAAATCAGGAGGAATCAGGACAATGGCCAAGGGAAGCAGGACTCCCAGCCCATGAGGTGACAGTGACTGAGGATGGGACCAGGCTCTGGTGGCCATGGCAGCCCCATGGTGACCCCACACCCCTGGTTCCCATGGTGCCAGCCCAGCCCCACAAGGGAGTGGTACCCACTCGCTCTTTTTGCTGCCAGGACCCTTCAGTTTGGTCTCCAGGCCCCCAAAGAAGCCCTTGACGTTCTCTGTCTTGGCTGAGGTGTTTTTCAGCAGCCTCTCTGCAATGTCCTTCTTCTCAGCCAGCCACGTGTTGGCTGACTTCAGGTACGAGTCGATGCTGCCCGTGGGCTTCTCCTTGGCCTCCAGGGGCAGGGCCTGGGGCTTCCCTGGGGAAAATGTGCCAGGAGCTCAGTGGGCACACGGCCCTGAGTGCTGCCAGCCGCTGGGGACCTGCATCCAGCTCCAAGCTGCAGATGGAACACCCCAGATCCCATCCCAGCTCCTGGAGGTTTTTATTTTTATCCTCCCCGCTCCCATTTTGGATAGAAAATCCAGCCCCCTGTGGAGGAGCAGCCATCGCACACCAAACAATAAACCAAGGTGTTTCTGGGCTGGGATCACCTGGGGGTTGTCACACACAAATATTTTTTTCTGAAAGTGAGCACAAAGCAGCATCACCACCCCAGCAGGAGCACTGCCAGGTTTGCATGGATTCTGGGCTCTTTTCCACCCCTCCAACACCTTTCCCATGCACAGGACACATTTTGCAGCAGCAGAACTTCCCCAGGGGTGCAGGCTCCCTTACCTATGTAGTAATAGGTGAAGCACATGGTCATGAGGTTCTTGGCAGGGCTGAAATCGTCCATCTGGTGACACCTGGCACGGAGGGAGGGCTCAGTGAGGACACCCCGTGATGGGAGCCCACAGAGCTCTGCCCTCAGGGCCTTTTGGACCCTTCAGTTTGGTCTCCAGTTCCCACCAAGCCCCAGAGTGACCCCAGGAACTTACTCAAAGAGCACGAGGGCGAAGGACTGCATCAGGCGGTAGAAGGTCTGCTCTGAGACACACTTGGAGTTGCAGCGCTGCAGGGACAGAGCCCAGGNGGGTGATGTCCCCACCAGGGTGACACCCCACAGCTCAGGGGAAGCAGATTTTGTGGAAGTTCCTGAAGCATTGGGCAATGTTTTGCCTCCCAGCCCTGAGCAGCAGGGCCAGGGGAGGAGCTGCAGACCCAGGAAGGGCTTTGGTGGCAGGAGGGTCCCACAATCTCAGGGTGTCCTGAGCTGGGAATGACCCCTGGATGAATGATCATCCAGCTCCTGAGTGAGCCTGTAAAATGCTGCTGTGAGGAATGAGATAACAGCTCTGATAAAAACCTCAAAACCTCTGATAAAACCCCCAAAACTCTGATGAAAACCCCAAACTTCTGATAAAAACCCCAAAGCTCCAATGAAAACCCCAAACCTCTGATAAAACCCTAAAGCTCTGATAAAAACCCCCAAAACTCTGATGAAAACCCTGATGAAACCCCAAAGCTCTGATAAAACCCCAAAACTCTGATAAAACCCCAATCCCCAGGCCCTGTAACACCCCAGGCCAGGCTGCCCCTGTGCCCAAAGAGGGGCAGCTCCTCGGGCAGGGCTGTGCCAGCAGAGCCAAAGCTCCTGCAGAGGGACAGGGACAACCAGAGGCTCCAACAGCACCCACACGCAGCCCCAGGGTGGATTCATTTACACCAGGATGAATTAATTTGCATTAATAGCAGGAAACCACCCAAGCCCCCCAAAGAAACTCACCCTCCACCATCTCAGGGCTCAGAGATTTGGCTCAGCCTGCCAAGACAAGGAAGATCTCAGGTTCCTGGTGCTGCTCTGAGCTCCTGGCCCCTCAAACCCAGCACCCAGAGCAGCACAATGCAACCGCAGCGTTGCCTCACCAGGGCTGGTTGTGACACAGCTGCTGCAAACCTGAGCAAAGCTGCTCCTCCACGCTGACCCTCTGCAAATCCCTCCTAATCCAATCCTGTTTGTGGCTTTAAGCTGGACCCTCCCATGCTGGACACCCCAGTTTGCTCCACACTTGGGGAAATCCTGGGATTTTCTCAGTGCTGGGTGAGGATCTGATGCAGGAAAAAGCCCAGTGTCACAGACAGCTTTTATGGAAAAATCCTTTCCTTGGGATTTTTCCTCCTGAGAAGCTGAAAATGTAAACAATGGTTATCTGCTGCTGTGGAATGCAACAGGTGCATCTGGGATTGGTCTCATGTGATTGTTTGTAATTAATGGCCAATCACAGTCAGCTGGCTCAGACTCTCTGAGAATCACAAGCTTTTGTTATCATTCTTTCTTTTTCTGTTCTTAATAAACCTTCTGATAAAATCCTTTCTTCTGTTCTTTTAGTATAGTTTTAATATAACTATGTATTATTATATATAATATAAATAATATATTATATATTATATATTATATATTATATATTATATATTATATATTATATATTGATAATAAATATAATATAATAAATAATATATAATAAAAAATAATATAATAAATTATATATAATATTATATAAAACTAATATATATTAGTTATATGTATTATATATAACTAATATATATTAATAATTAATATAATATAATATAATATAATATAATATAATATAATATAATATAATATAATATAATATAATATAATATAATATAATATAATATGCCTTCTGAAACTCCATGTTCTGAAACCCTGGAGTCAGATGGAGTCAGATCCTCGTCTCTTCCCTCATTCTCAGAGCCCTGTGAACTCCATCACACCCCAGAGCTTCCTTCTCCCCATGTCTGGAGGTGTTTGGGGACAGTGACCTGCACTCCCAGCTCATATCCCACTGGCACAATCCCTGTGTGCCACCTGGGCATGGGAACCCTCCCCCTGTGCCAGCCTGGGAAAGCCCTGCCCTGTGTCCCCAGGGCCAGCAAACATCTGGCACCACAGAGTGACAGAGCAGAGCAGCTCAGCCAGGAGGATGGAAATGCTGGAATCACCCTCAGCCTGCCTGGAATCTGCAGCAAAGTCGTGACACAGAGGAGGCTCAGCCCCAAAATTCCCTTTTTACCTCCTGTGCCCGGAGATGCTCCTTCCAGCGGCGATGCGGGACAGGGACGGACACACGGACAGACACGGGGACAGACACACGGACAGACACACGGCCGCTCCTGCCGCTGAGCAATGATTAATTCCAGCTCCGGGTGACAAAGTGAAAGCCAAACAAGGCGAGGCCGGGCTGTCCCCGCTCGCTGCTTTCCCCGGCCCCGNTGTCACCGTTGTCATCCCCTCGGTGGCCGTTGTCGCTGGGGGCAGCGGGAGGAGCCGGCTCTGAGGGGTCACAGGCGGGCGTTTCGCTGTCAAAGTCAATGAGGTTCCCTACAGGCACATCCAGAGGGGCCTCCATGGCTCTCCCAGGGGATGTGGCACTGTTGGGGACACTCGCTGTTCGTCCTTTTGTCCCTCACTGGGGCGTTGAGGCCATGGCTGGCAGGATGCTGGCTAAGGCAGGCAGGAGCTGCTGGCAGGGCACGGGTTACCACAGCACATCTGAAAGGCACAAGGAGGACAAAAGTGAGGACAGGACCCCAGGGAGCCACCACCATGGAGCTTGGGCGAGGCCACCACCCACAGTTGTCCCCAAGATGTCTGTCCACAATGCAGGGACAGACAGAGCTGGCTCCTCTCCAGCAGCCACGTGAATCAGCAATCCCATGGAATGCTCACACGCTGCCGGCACCGCTCTAGAGGGTTTTCCATCCTTTAGCCCAGAAAAGGGACAACCGGAGCCTCAGCTCCATATGGCACATTTGGGATGTGACATCTCGTGGCCTGATGGGCAGAACTGGGCTGGCAGGAGCCAGCAGCTGGCAGGACACTGGTGGCTCTGCAGGGCAGCCCTGGCATCCTCCTGTCCCCGGCCTCTCTCTGCTCAGGGCTCTGTCTGACCCTGTTTGGAAATGGGATCATCCTGGGGTGGAGCATCCTGGAGTTTAACACACATTGAGCTGGGAATGGGAAGGGGATGCTGGACACCACAGGAACTGGAATGGGATGAGGATGCAGAGCTGTGGACTGCAGTTAAGGGGTTTGGCACCCCAGATTGCAAAGGTCCTGCAAGGGAGGTACAGAGAGCACAGGGATGGGGATGGACAGGAATGCTCCAGCAAGTGCCCATCCTGGACAAAGGAGGCAAAGACAAGGCCACCCTGAAGCTGCCCCTGTGTCAGAGAGTCACAGAGAACTCCCTGAGGGTGTTTCTGGCCCAGGATGGGGGGAATTGTAGTGTCTGAAACCCAGCACACACTGCAGCATCCGGGGACAGGAACAGGGACAGCAGCACAGGTGACAGTGACAAACCCAGGGCACCACGACAGCAGCACTGCCACAGCCCCACTGCCTTCCAGGGAACTGATCCCAGGACACAGACAAGCACCCCCAGAGCAGAAATCCCCCAAAGGACCGATGTCCAGTTCATCAGACAAACAGGAGATGAAGCTGAAAGCAGATCTGACGTGTTTCACCAAGCACAGCACAGTAGGAAAACAACCCTGGGCTGCAGGAGCAGCTGCTCTTCAGCAGCATCCCCCTCCTCCTCCTCCTCCTCTCCTCCAGGGGCCCTGTGGGCACTGGACAGTGAGAGAAACACAGCTCCTTGAGTGGCTGGGACAGCAGGGACAGAGAGAAAAGTCACCTGGGGTGGCAGAAGCCCTGCAGCCACCTCGGCTGGCAGCTTCTGTGCCAGCTTCCCTCATAGAGGGAAGAGTATCCATCCATCCATCCATCCATGGGCAGAGTTTGGCTCCTGAGAGAGGAGCAGCCCGAGGCTGCAGCACAGCAGGGACTGGCAGTGTTCCCACAGGGATCCAGCCAGCTGCAGCCTGGCTCTGTGCCCTGGCAGTGTGACCCATCCCAAAGCATCCCTCCAGCTGCAGGGACCTGCATCCATCCATCCATCCATCCATCCATCCATCCATCCATCCATCCATCCATCCCTTAATCCATTCCCCATCCATCCATCCATCCATCCATCCATCCATCCCTTCCCACTCCCACAGCAGCTGCAGTCCCTGATGCAGAGAAGGCTCCAGGGAGAGCTCAGAGCCCCTTCCAGTACCTAAAGGGGCTCCAGGAGAGCTGGAGAGGGATTTTGGATGAAGGCATGGAGTGACAGGACACAGGGAATGGCTCCCTCTGCCACAGGACAGGGTTGGATGGGACATTGGGAGGGAATTCTTGTGGTGAGGCCCTGAGGAGGACTTGGAGTCCTGCCCAGCAGCCCCAGGAGTGCATCCTGCTCACAGGGGGATGGGAAAGGTTTAACCCCTCACTGCCCAGCTCATGGTAAAGCCCTGCCCTTGAGTGAAGGCCACCAAGGTGTCCCAAGGCGTTGGCAGCTGCCCAGGCTCCCCCAAAGGCTCTCACCACAGAGCACAGAAGAGCTTCAAACCCAAAACCAGCTGCAGAACCAGCCCTGTCCCCACTCCACAACCTCCTCATTGCTCCAGCAGGACAAATCCAGGGAAGGAGTAGCCAAAATTCCAAATGAGAGCCTCAGATCCCACAGCTGGCACCATCCACTCATGGACTCAGCTCAGCTGCACATCCCAGCACTGCCCAGGGGGCTCCCATGCCTGGCTGGGTCAAGTCTGACAGTAATTGAGGGTTCTGCAATAAAAAGGGACTTTTAGGCTGCTTGGGAGCCTTGGTACAACATCATGAGCTTCAGCATCATCCTGAGCTCCAGCATCATCCTGAAATTCAGCAAGTCTGACTTTAACCACAAAACTCAACCAGATAAATGGAGACACCAGCCCAGGAATAAAATCCATGAATGTGCTGAAACCATGCTGGGAACGCCACAGGAAGCCCATGGTGCCCTGAAACTTTGGGAAATGCCTGATTTTACCAAAAAGAAACGCTGGGGTAGATGTGAATAATTCACCTACAGCTGCACATTGTACAAGCAGCTTTTATCCATGACCTGCCCTTGAATCCAGCATTCCTGGCTGGATCTCCCAGCATCCCTAAGCCCTGCATGGAGTTTTCCCTGGGGGCTTTTTCCAGGTGCTGAGCTCAGGTTTGCTGTGGGGCCTCAGCGATTCACACCTGGGCAATGGGATCCAATCCAGTGGAAATCCCAGTGGGGAGCAGGATATGGCCAAGCTGTGTCCCAGCTCTCCTGTCTCTCCAGCCCAAAGCTCTGCTCCCAGCCTGTCCCCAGAGCTGGATGACAATCTGAGGTAATAATCCCTGTTATCAGCTCGGCTGTGGGTGACACTGCTCCAACCCACACACTGCATCCTGCACAGACAGTGCTCCAGCCTGGAGCTGTCAGGGATGACTAAAAACTGTAATTAAAGCAAAGAAACCCCTGGCTGCCTCCTCCTGGCCTCATCCCTGCAGGCTGGCACCCAGACACGGAGGGCAGGAGCTCTGAGAGCCCTGGGGCCACTCAGCTCACGGAAAGGGGAAAAGCCACAACCGATGTTGCTGCAGGACTCGAATTGGCAGCACAGAGGGGACAACTCTGCTCGTTTGGGCAGAGCCAGAGCTCTGCAGAGAGCCCTGGCACTGTGTCCATGCCAGGAGCTNGGCCAGGGAAAAGAGCCCTCATGGCTGAGATTCCCCTCAGATTCAGCGTTGTGCCTGTCTGGGTTTGGGTTGTTTTTTTTAGGGAATGGGATGTGTCTGAGTGCTGGTGGGATTTAATTTTAAATAAACCGAGTGAATTCTCTCCCACGTTGCACCAAGGGTGCATTTAGCTGCTCAAAATGCATTTATTCACTCCTGTCCGTGGTTCCTCACTTTCCTTGAGTTCCTGCCTTCCAAAAATACTTCTCTGGGGTATGATTCAACCCCCCTGGCCTGAGGCTGTTTCAGGATCCCTGTTCTCCCCAGCACTGCCCTTACCTGGGCGCTCACGTATCTGGCAAACCACTCCCTGCCCTTCCCGTCCTCACTGCTGCACAGCTCCCCAAACCTGGCCTTCTCCTCTTGGTCCAGATCCTCTCTGCAACAGGGAAAGAATAAAAAACATCATTAAGGCCAAGGATGTGACCTGCACCCCCCCGTTGGCATCAGCATACTGGTGCTGGAGGAAGGCAGAGGAAGAGGAGGAGAGGAGCATCCATTTTGTGATCCCTTGCATTGTGCTGCTCTTTTCTCCCTCCCTGGCAGGAGGGAAACCAAAGGCAGGGGGAGAAGGGAAGAGCCAAGGACAGTGTGAGCAGAAACTGAGCTCCAGAGACAGGCAGGGAGCCCCAGAGCAAAACCAGGCCCTGTTGCTGCTCCTCACGCTCCATTTGCTGCATCCAGCCTGACACAGAGAGCTGGGGGATGCAGGGCTGGGGGCACAGCCAGGGGCTGCCACAGGGTCCCTGGGCACGTGAGGGCCACTGGCACTGCCCTCAGCATCCGTGGGGAGAGGGGATGGGGACAGTGAGCCCCTGGCATGGGAATGGGGACAGAGAAGGGCGGGAAGCTGGGGGTGGGAGATGCGGCCAGGAGAAGAGTGCAAGGAAAAAGCCACTGTAGCCATGATATTTTCTGAAAAATCCTTTCCTTAGGATTTTTCCTCCTGAGAAGCTGAGAGGCCTCAGGAACAAANCCTGCAGGAAAAGCCCTGGGATGGGCACTCACACACACCCCTGCCTTCCCCAGCCTCCAAATCACCTCTAATTCAGGAATCAAATCCCCTCAGATCACCCCCCAAACCCTGCAGGGCTCCCCTGCACCTCCTGCAGATCACCCCCACCAAAACATGCAGATATTCCCCACCAAAACCTGCAGATCATCACCACCAAAACCTGCAGATATTCCCCACCAAAACCTGCAGAACTCCCCTGCACCTCCTGCAGATCAGCACCACCAAAACCTGCAGATCATCCTCACCAAAACATGCAGATTATCCCCACCAAAACCTGCAGATCATCCCCACCAAAACCTGCACAGCTCCCTGCACCTCCTGCAATTCATCCCTCCCAAAACCTGCAGATCATCCCCTGCACCTCCTGCTCCTGGCTTTTCATCCTGAGCCCTGCCAGGGTTGGGAATTCCAGCCCAATCTCCAGGTGCTGCTGCTGGAAGAGAGAGAAATAATCAAATACAGACCTGGGGAAGGTCCCACAGCAGTGAAACCGCCGGGTTTTCCCTGCAGGGCTGGAACAAGGAAGAGATAAACCACGTTTGCTCCAGAGCACAGGCAAACAACTGCTTATCGCCGGCCTCAAGGCTACTGCAGGGTGTCAGGAAAAGTGCAATTCCTCTCCTCTCCCTGGAAGGGTTCTGGTTTTGGCCCCTGTGTCACAGGGAGCTGGGGCTGGAGAGCAGCCAGCCCTGCAGAGCCCCTTCCCTCCCTGCCACATTCCAGGGAAGGGATGGGCTGCAGGGGAAACTGAGGCAGCTCTGGGTCAAGCTGCAGGATCACCCTGGGCTGGCTCACTGAGAAAGATCCAGGGAGAGCCCAGAGGGCCTAAAGAGCTCCAGGAGAGCTGCAGAGGGACTGGGGACAAGGGATGGAGGGACAGGACACAGGAATGGCTCCCACGGCCAGAGGGCAGGGATGGATGGGAGATTTGGATTTAGGAACTGTTCCCTGGCAGGATGGGAGGCCTGGCTGTGGGTGCTCCATCCCTGGAAGTGTCCCCAGGACAGGGCTTGGAGCACCCTGGGACACGGAAGGTGTCCCTGCCATGGCAGGGTGGGATGGGGTGAGCTCTGAGGTCCCTCCCAACCCAAACCATGCCAGGATTCTGTGATAACCCAAAGCTCAGCTGCAAAGGGGCAGAGCCAGACTTTGTGCTGGGTTTCCCAGCGACATTCTAGGGGTCATTGGTCATTTTCAGGCTGGAAAATGATGAATCCTGTGTCCCTGAGAGGGACAGAAAAAGCCCCAGCTGGCCTGACCCAGCGCTGGTGAGACACCCCCATGTCCTTCTGCCAGCACATTGGTGACACTCCCTGCACCCCAATCCCCTTGGCCAAAGAGGACAGACCCACCCCTTTCTCCCTCCCAGCCCTCCCCAGTGAGCTCCATCTCTGCCCTGCAATGCCCAACCCCAGCAGCCAGCACACGGGAAAAGCCCATTTGGGATGATCCCCCTCTGCCCAAGTGTGAGATCGCTAATTGAGGGTAAAATTCCATCCAGGCTCCCGAAAATAGCCCGATAAATGAGCTCAGCTCTTTGCTGCTTGACTCAGCTAATCCTCCAGCAGCCGCCAGACAGCTTTGATTGCATCTCCTCTCCTTGGGCTCCCTTTAATGCCAAGGCCGAGCCGCGGCAGCTGCAGCAGCTCCCTGCAATTCCTAATCTGCCTTTATTCCTGGCTGCACCGCTGAGCAGAGGCCGGCTCCCGCTCCTGGCGTGATTTATGAATATGGATTTTGCTGGTTAAGCCATTAGGAGCGGTGATGGAGCAATTCCCGGTACATCCTGCACCGCCCGTGCCTCATTTGCAGCTCGCCCCGCAGAACGCTCCCCCTGCAACGCCGCTCTCCATGCAGGGGAGATTATGTTAAAGCTTTGTCTGTAATGCTGTAATTCCACCTCGCCTCCCTGGGCCCTCTCCAATGGGAAACAGGCAGGGAAGGGCTGGGGAGAGGAGGGAGCTCAAACCCAGCGGGAGGAGCTGATGTCCTGCCCCAAAAGGCTGAAGGGAAAGGGTTAAATCCTCTGTCAGCACAGAGGGACCTGCTCTGGCTGCTTGTGTGCTGCTCCAGTGCCTCCATCCGTCCATCCATCCATCCATCCATCCATCCCTCCCTCCTTTAATCCATCCTTCATCCATCCATCCCTCCCTTAATCCATCCATCCATCCATCCATCCATCCATCCATCCATCCATCCATCCATCCATCCATCCATCCATCCATCCACCCTGGGTGAAATAAGCACACTGTCCATGTGAGAATCCTTGGGAAATGTCCCAAGCAAAGCCAAGTTTTCCCTTCACAGCAAAAACCCTTGGAAAGGTGCACGAGTAATATCCAAGGCCTCTCTTTTCCAGAAAATGAAATTTCCATGTTATTTAGCCAAGAACTCCTGAATGGAGCAGATCCACCCAGCTCATCACTCAGCAGCATCCCCTCGTTTGTTTCTAATTAGCAGGAGCACACAGGGCTGAGCCAGGCAGGTAATGGAGCTCGGGATCCTGGGAGATCAGGAAAAGCACCCTGATGGGCTGGAGCAGGGCTGGGATTGAGGCACTGGAGCAGGGAATGAGGGGACACTGGCTCTGAGGGCTCAGGGGGGGTGGAAACCAGGACTGAGGGACAGGGGACACACGAGGGACTGCAGCCCTGGTGTCCCCGGGCAGGAATAATTTGGGTTCCTGGAGGTGAGGAGAGGGATGACAAGGTGACAGAAATCCCCAGGGAGAAGCCACCCATGGAGGAAAATGCTTCCAGGAGAGGTAAGATATGACGGCAGAGAGAGGAGGGAATTTGGGGTTGTCCCGCAGGTACTGGAGATGGGATGATGGGAACTGGTTCACTTGGGATCAGCTGCAGAGGGGCGGGATGTGGGACAGTGGATTGGTGCTGGAGCAGGGACAGAGGGGCTGAGTCCCACCGGAGTGTCCCACAGGCACCTTCAGGGGTCCTGGTTTCAGGTGGCCTCACCCAAGAGCCTCAGGGTGCAGCATTTCCCACGTGTGTGTGGCCCCCAGTGCCACGAGAGCCCACGTAGACCCTGATCCCGTGAGGGTCCATGTCCACGTGGATCCTGGTCCCACAAGTGTCTGTGTCTGTACTGATCCAGGTCCCGTGAGTGTCCTTGTGAATCCTGATCCCATGAATGTCTGTGTCCACGCAGATCCCAATCCCACGTGTGTCCGTGCCCATGTCCGTGCTGATCCCAATCCCACTCGTGTCCATGTCCATTCCCATCTCAATCCCACTCGTGTCCATGTCCATGTCCATTCCCATCCCAATCCCACTCGTGTCCATGTCCGTGTCCATTCCGATCCCAATCCCACTCATGTCCATGTCCATGCCAATCCCAATCCCATGCGTGTCCATGTCCGTGTCCATTCCCATCCCAATCCCACTCGTGTCCGTGTCCATTCCCATCCCAATCCCACTCGTGTCCGTGTCCATGTCCATTCCCATCCCAATCCCACTCGTGTCCATGTCCGTGTCCATTCCCATCCCAATCCCACTCGTGTCCATGTCCATGTCCGTGTCCATGTCCATTCCCATCCCAATCTCACTCGTGTCCGTGTCCATTCCCATCCCAATCCCACTCGTGTCCATGTCCTATTCCGATCCCAATCCCGTGTCCGGTCTCCAGGCGCCCCCTGGCGGACACAGCGCGGCTCAGCCTCGCCCGGCGGCTGCGCGGGGAGAATCCCACGGGATTGATCCCACAGGACAGGACTGAACCCCTCCAGACTGAATCCCAAACCACCAAACCCCACAGGATTGATCCCACAGGACAGGACTGAACCCCTCCAGACTGAATCCCAAACCACCAAACCCCNAATCTGTCCTTGAGCCAGGCTGGACCCGGACACTCCTGACTTGTTCTGGAACCCCAGAATGCTCGAGGAGTAACCCCAGGATCCCCATCCCAAACCCAGAACCTCTGGGATGCCCCAGGGCAGCACAAACAGCACAGCCAGGGGGAGAAAACGGGGGAAAACTGTGGGAAACGCAGCTTTACTTCATCCTGACATTTAATAACCTTTACTGTCCTCTGAGCAGCAGCTTTTGGCAGCACAGCTGGAAATCCCTCACCTTAGCAAGGAGAGGATTTCCCACTGCTGGATTTCCCTCCAGGCTGGAAAAGCTTTGGCAGCTGCTCCATCCCCTTATCACAGACCCCAAAAAGCTCCAAACCCTGTGGGATGCCAGGGTCGGGGTGGCCCTTCCTGAGCTCTTTGGGATCCCCAGAGCATCCCCAAATTCAGCACGGTAGATTCCAGGGATCGGAGGCGAGGATGAGGCGCTCTCCGGGCACGGGGCAGAGGCGAGGAGTTAATGGGGCTGCAATTCCCGCTGCCCCCATCGTCAGGGAGGGAAAACGCAGCCGAGCAGCC